ATTAGTGCAGAACACTGTACCTTTAATTTAAATGCCCTTGGAGTCTGCTGGGGAAGAGAAATAATACTGTCAGTCAGTATGACATGCAGATGAGTGCCGTCGATCTTAGAATCACCGCACACTTCACTCATTTGGGCAGTCACGGGGCACGACGAAGAAGAAGAAGAAGAATGAAAAGAAGAAGAAGAAGAATGAAAAGAAGAAGAAGAAGAATGAAAAGAAGAATGAAAAGAAGAAGAAGAATGAAAAGAAGAAGAAGAAGAGAGATGAAAAGAAGAATGAAAAGAAGAATGAACTATATTACTATATCAGTCTCTAATGGATGCTGGAGAGTTAAATCCCCTAACACCTGCTGTGCCCATTATGAGGGGTTCCCACCATCCCTGTGCTGAGGTTCTGGGTATGCACACCTGCTGTGCCCATTATGAGGGGTTCCCACCATCCCTGTGCTGAGGTTCCAGGTCTGCACACCTGCTGCGCCCATTATGAGAAGTTCCCACCATCCCTGTGCTGAGTTCCTGGGTCTGTACACCTGCTCTGCCCATTAGGAGGAGTTCCCACCATCCCTGTGCTAAATTCCTGGGTCTGTACACCTGCTGTTCCCATTATGAGGGGTTTCTACCATCCCTGTGCTGAGGTCCCAGGTCTGCACACCTGCTGCGCCCATTACTAGGGGTTCCCACCATCCCTGTGCTGAGGTTCTGGGTATGCACACCTGCTGTGCCCATTATGAGGGGTTCCCACCATCCCTGTGCTGAGGTTCCAGGTCTGCACACCTGCTGCGCCCATTATGAGAAGTTCCCACCATCCCTGTGCTGAGTTCCTGGGTCTGTACACCTGCTCTGCCCATTAGGAGGAGTTCCCACCATCCCTGTGCTAAATTCCTGGGTCTGTACACCTGCTGTTCCCATTATGAGGGGTTTCTACCATCCCTGTGCTGAGGTCCCAGGTCTGCACACCTGCTGCGCCCATTACTAGGGGTTCCCACCATCCCTGTGCTGAATTCCTGGGTCTGTATGTACACCTGCTGTGTCCATTGTGAGGGATTCCCACCATTCCTGCACTGAGTACCTGAGTCTGTACACCTGCCAAAAGAAAGTTTCAGGATTTTGAAGGAGCAAAATACAGTAATACTGGAACAAAAATGAGCTGCGTGGTGGAGTTGCCAGAAGAAGAAGAAGAAGAAGAAAAAAGAAGAAGAAGAAAGAAGATGAAAAGAAGAAGAATGAAAAGAAGAAGAAGAATGAAAAGAAGAAGAATGAAAAGAAGAAGAAGAAGAATGAAAAGAAGAATGAAAAGAAGAAGAATGAAAAGAAGAAGAAGAAGAATGAAAAGAAGAAGAAGAAGAATGAAAAGAAGAATGAAAAAAGAAGAAGAATGAAAAGAAGAAGAAGAAGAAGAATGAAAAGAAGAAGAAGAAGAATGAAAAGAAGAATGAAAAGAAGAAGAAGAAGAATGAAAAGAAGAAGAAGAATGAAAAGAAGAAGAATGAAAAGAAGAAGAAGAAGAATGAAAAGAAGAAGAAGAAGAATGAAAAGAAGAATGAAAAGAAGAAGAATGAAAAGAAGAAGAAGAAGAATGAAAAGAAGAAGAAGAAGAATGAAAAGAAGAATGAAAAGAAGAAGAAGAAGAATGAAAAGAAGAAGAAGAATGAAAAGAAGAAGAATGAAAAGAAGAAGAAGAAGAATGAAAAGAAGAATGAAAAGAAGAAGAAGAAGAATGAAAAGAAGAATGAAAAGAAGAAGAAGAAGAATGAAAAGAAGAATGAAAAGAAGAAGAAGAAGAAGAATGAAAAGAAGAAGAAGAATGAAAAGAAGAAGTATTCCAGTACAGCAAAAAGTGTATCTGCAGAGAGCTCCGCTATTTCTGACAGTTCTCTGACAGTTCCTTCACATTTACAGCGGTTGAAACATTGTATCTATTTATTTCCGAATAAAAACATCTGTATCCTAAATGGAAACAAATAGATACAATGTTTCAACCGCTGTAAATGAACTGTCAGAACTGTCAGAAATAGCGGAGCTCTCTGCAGTGACACTTTTGCCGGGCTGATCGGGAAAAATTCGATTCGTGCACCCGAAGTTGGCTAAAATTTGGATTCGATGCGAATTGAATTTTTCCCGATATTCGAAACGAATTCCACTTCGCCTGGTTCGATTCGCTCATCTCTAGTGGCGATATGTAACGTGTGTATCACAATTGGCGTTTTCATGCGTAGATGACCCGACATGTACGTTTACATTTGTATGTGCATATATGTGGGGTGTGGGGGCCTCAAACATTTTTTTGCATGGATGGTATTTGATTGGGTGTAACTTTAATAGTTTTGCAATTTAAATTTTTTTTTTTTCCACTGAACTTTTTTTTGATCACATAGGGGACACAAAGTCCCCTATGTGATAATTTTTAGGAGACAGATTCTCTTTAATGAGACATGCAGAGCCTAAAAGACTCTGCATGTCTCCTCTGTCATTATTAGATGTATTGCAATCCAAATCGCATTGCAATATATGTATCCCCGGCTAGAATAGCGGTGACCTGGAAGTGATATCATACATGTTGCCTACCTGGTCACAGAAGGAAGGGGGGAAAGCAGATGTTTGTCCACTCTCCTTTCTCCCCCCATCTGCAGCCACCCGCCATGGCGTTCCCTGGGCCCACAGAGAGACAAGCGGGGCCCGGGAGCAGGCGCGCGGGGGGGGGGAGCACTGGTACCGAGGGGCTGTGGAAGCGATCAGGCAGCAGCGTAGCCGCCTGAGTGCTTCCACCTGACAGGCAGGAGTCTACCTGTCAGATTTATGGCTGCAGCCAGTGGATTATGTATAGAACCACCCGCTGTCAGGTCCATACGACGTACGGACCTTGTGGCAATACAGCTAAACAAAGGCTGAAATGGCAGTTTCCTTGGCTGAAAAGGATAGAAGGGTTTAGTTCCACTTTAACTAAAAAAAATAAAAGAAATTACCCTCTATTGCTCTCAGCCTCCTCCAAATCATCAAATTCCTATTTTTTTGCTTCTGTAACCTGACTTCTTGTTGGAGGGTGCCTACATTCGTTCCCCATGGTCCAAATGGGGAAGTTGCGCTTTAAGCCTTTGTCCCCCACTCCCCATTAAGGATTGGCACCTTTGGGGAGCGGGTACTTGAATTTGATGGGTACCCGCTCCCACTTCCGCTGCGGTCGCCTAGGCGATCAAAAGTGGAAGTTGTCCTCCTCCCTCTCTTTCCATAGTCTTCTACGGGACTGTTCACAAAGTGCAGCATTTCTCGCGCATGTGCAGTGGGCACCCGGCTGTGAAGCCGCAAGCTGTCACAGCCAGGTGCCCACACTGAAGATGCCGGCACCAGGGAGAGAAGACGGCCAGTGAAACCAGCAGTGGTGAGGACACCGCAGGACCGAGGGACAGGTAAGTGGCTGTATTTTAAAAGTCAGCAGCTACAGTTTTTGTAGCTGCTGACTTTTATTTTTTTTTTTCTTTTAGGTGGAACTCCACTTTAACCACTTCCTGTCCGGCCCATGTACATAAACGGCCGGATGGGAGCAGTGCAGGGGTGAGTGGCCGTTTATAAATGTCCTCCCGCTTCCCTGTCTGTGCACGCTCCCTGGACAAACAGAGGAACACCGATCGCTGTATGGGACCTCTGTGTGAGGTTCCAATCATGTGATCACTGATTGGCCAATCAGTGATCACATGAACAGTAGTACGGAAGATGTCACTTCCTGACATCATTGCTTACTACATGTGAAATCTGTGAATGATCACAGAGGTCACATGGTACAAGGCTATTCACAACAGCCTTGTACCATGTGAAAAGCTGTGACCAATCACAGCTCTCACAGTATTTCTCAGTGGCTGCAAGAATTCAGCAAGAGAGAAGGAGAAATGAATTCTTTTACAGCCTTTATGGGTGTAAAAGCAATCAGTGTAAATAAAAAAAAATCTTCATCACCCCCACAAGTATTACAGAGTCACTATGGTGACACTGTACTGCTAGGGTGACAGTATGTAAAAAAAAACCCATAAATAACAATATAGAAAAATAAAGTAGACATGTAAAAACATTTTTTGAAAAATTATAATTTTTGGTTATAAACTAATTTGGGTTTTTTTTTTTTTTTTTACTAAAACGATAGATGAATACATTTTGGCCAAGATTTATGAAGAAAGAATTTTTATTTGCAAAATTTTATAAGAAAAACACTTTTTTAAAAAAATGTTTGGACTTTTTCATTTACAGAGCAAAAAAAAATAAAAATCGCAGCGGCGAATAAATACCACCAAAATAAAGTTTTATCTCTTAAAAAAAATTTAAAAAAAATTCATGGGGGTACAGAGTTGCATGACCGCGCAATTGTCAAAGTATGATAGCGCCAAAAGCTGGCCTGGACAGGAAGGGGGTGAAAGTGTCCGGACTTGAAGTGGTTAAGAACTGATTTGATGAAATGTAGATTTCAGGGTTATTATGTACTGGATTTGTAGGGATGATTTTTTGGGAGAATGAGATTACTGTCACTTTAAGTGTTTTTTTTTTCACGCCTGCTCAGTTTCATCCCGCCTGTGCCCTTCCCCTCAACGTTTCACCGTCTAGGTAATAACTGGGCGTGCCAAGCTGACAGATTCGCCAATAGGGAGCCTCAGCTAAGCATTTCAGTCCCCGCCCTTGGTTACCGCACAGTGCTTTGTGGGTAATGGAGTTCTCGGGGTTGGTGGCGGTGTTGTCTGTACACTGCTCGGCCCTTGTATGGACTACACTTACCAGAGCGGCGTGCGGCACAGCTCCTCTCGGAAGCGGCAGAGCTCTTCCTATCCGCTCACAGAGCAGCCGGACCTGGCAGAGCTGCTAACATGGAGCTCCGGTGGACGGGGAGCTGTGCCGCCCTCTGCAGTCTTGTGGGAGCCGGAGTAGCTGGACTGGTGTGATCCGGTGCCTCATCTTCCAGTCATTGGGGAGGGAGCTGGTGGCGGAGAATTTTCCAGGTGGGAGCTGAGCTCCCCTAGCATGGAGAGAGCCATGGAGCAACTAAACCGCCTCACCCGATCCCTGCGGAGAGCCCGCACTGTGGAGCTGCCTGAAGGTGACGTCATCCTCCTCACCCTTCTCCAGTATCAGTCAGTGTACAGAGGGCCAGGTCTGCGCTATAGACACCTGGGATGCCCCAATCACCACTTCCCTGCCATGGAATACATTAGAACAGTCTTTCTTACAGTACGACTATAGGCAGAACTTATTTTTCCTCATTTGCCATCTGTCTCTCATTGGGGGAGATTTCTCTTCACCTGTCTAATAGCCAAACAGGAAGTGACAGAAAATCCCTCAAAAGTGATCCCTGCTCATCACCAAAACTAGAGTCCTCATTGGGGGATTTTGGGACCACCAAAATTGGGGCTTTTCTTTCACTTTGGATAACAAAAGCCCCAATCAATATATTTTTCTCAAAGTGATCACCCTGGAGAATGAAATGGTTGTACCATTTTTTTCTGCCACACAATATTTATCCACATGATTAAAAAGAAAAGTATAGCTAAAGCCATACTTCTGTTCTGGGTCCCAGGAGTGCACCTGTTTCTGCTCTTCTGTGATCCAGATTCAAGCAACATTGGGCTAAACTCATCTGACATCACAGAGATGGTCCAAACTTTGCTGGGATCCTGACAATAATGTCCGGATTCACCAAGATGCCTGACTGGCCACTCGGCACAAATTTAGAGCCTGAGCCAGCTGCTCCCTTTCCTTACACAGTATGACACTGGAGGGGCAGAGAGCTGGTGACTGACAGTCACTGAGAACTGAGCAATCAATGGGCATGTGATCACTCAGTTCTCAGTCTTAGAGGTGGTAGGGGACTGATGCTGCAGCCACATAGGTGAGTATGAATGTTTATTTTTTGATATTACACGCTTGTCTTTTAATACTTGCTGTGGTTGAGATATGTTGGGGGCTTGACTTTTGAGGTGGGAGTGAGCAATGTGCTTTCATTGCAGTACTCATTGGTTGGAGTTGAATGTCTTTGGTGTGCGTCCTGGGATTTGGACGGTGGATTACAGTGGAGCAGGAGCGGACTCCAGGGCTTTGGCACACAGCTGTTTTCAGGGAATTGAGGATACAGGCTGCCCTGTGAGCAGTGAAAAGGGGTTGGGTTGACACAGTATTAAAAGGTAACTCTGCTTTTTTGGGAAGGAAAATGGCAAATAAAAAAAACATAGGATATACAACTGTGAGTCATCATATTGTAACTTAAAGTTAAGGTTCCTTTCCTTTTCAGTTTGCAGTGCTGTAATTTTTCTGTAAAATGTATTCTGGCTACCCAGAGGCCTTCTGTACACAGATGGTATACAGAACATTTGGCATTTTCTATTTGTCTGGTTGTTTTTCTTCAGTAGTGGTGGATTAAACTCCCCCTGCTGGTGCCTGTATAGTTTTGGCATCCGTGCCACTTGGCAGAGCCAGTGGTATGGGGCTAGTGGGCTTTTTCCGGTAAGTAACCAATGATGCTAAAGATAAACACCAGAGTATGGGCATTCTTCACCAATAACCAGGAGTCTCAGAAACCTCCAGTGTAGTGGGCATTTTTTCCCAAAAACCTCCAGTGTAAAGGGCTTTCCTCCCAATACCCTCCAGTGTAAAGTGGCTTTCTTCCCAACTTTTCTTTATTAAAAGTCTTGCGATCAATAAACATAAAATTCTATACAGAATATACAAAAATAAATATGTATATATTTACACCAAAACAAAAATAAATATATCAAAATCTGCTGTCAGACAAAAGCAAACCTCTCAGAAATGAACGTCATTACTGGGGGAAATAAATCTTACTACCACTCACTTCACTATACCAGACATCAAACCTGAGAGGCCAAGAAACAACCCCTGCACCCATTGTGCATGCAGCCCTTCTTCAAAAAAGAAGATCTTAACGAACAAAAACTAAGGGAGTGAAAAGAACAGCAATAGAAAAAAGCCCCTCACCCAGAGATGACAGTTCACCAAAGCCAGGTCTGATATTCCTCCACACCCTTATCCAGACCGACTGAGGCTCCCTGCCCTTCTCAAGACCCTGAATCTTCTCAGCCTCACCTAGAATATTGTGCACCACAACCTCAACAGGGAGGACTTTCTTCTGCAGGGTAATCTGACACCGTGCATTCCATGTGAAGTAACAAACTATACTAACTAGAAAAAGTGTATCCAAATCAAAGTCCCAGCGAGCTGGGAATGCCCCGTACACCCACTTTGCATAAGTCATGTGATAGAGAGAGGGTATGCCTAGAACCCTCCCCACCCTTTTATACACCTCTATGTTAAAGGGACACTGGAGCAAAAAGTGGTCCATAGACTCCACTTTACCAACACACTCCACTCTAGGACAATCCTGATCATCCACAGGACAGTGCTTCAGGTTCCCTCTCAGATAGAGCCCTCCATGGTAAGCGAGCCAGGCTTGATCCTGAAACTTCAAAGAGATTCTTTCCAAATTAATTAAACACAATCCCTCTTTCATTACGGAGCCTGGGCAATCCTTTAAGGCCAATGACACTCTGAAAGCAGAACCCAAAATCCTCTCCTCCAGAAGCTTCCTGGGAAGGGACCTGATATCCTCCACTGTCACGTACACTGCCGAAAACAGCTGTAGACCCTTTGAACAATAAAAAAATAAGCTCCAAAAGTAGCCTTTATCCCCGTGCTAAATGTAAAATAAATTATATCAATAATATAAAGCAAACTGTGGCTGGAGCTGCTATTTTAAATAGAATACAATAAAAAAACAAATTAGTGTAATAACACCATAAACAGCGCTGACTGATGAAATGCAATTCAGTCCCCAAATTTATGTGAAATATTAAAAAATATACATAAATGATATATAAATAATTAGATTTGCAAATAAAAATAACACTTCCACCCATAAAGTGACAAAAATCAGTTGATATAAAAAAAAAAACAGTTAATATAAAAAAAAAGCTAAGTCCAAATCTTCCCTTCAAAGAATATCCACCAAAAGCGTGATCTCTGATGTGCTCAACACGCCATAAAAGTGAAAACTCACCAGATGCTGGTGATTAATCAGCATTGAATCAAACACCAAGACTATTTAGACCAGATCGGCTTAGATGTAAGAATGGTCACTCATCAAATGGTTAATCCAGTTCAGGCTCCATCAAGGTGATATTCAAATTCAGGTCTCTGATGTTGAGAGTGACTGAGAATGGAGTGTTGAGCACATCAGAGATTACACTTTTGGTGAATATTCTTTGAAGGGAAGATTTGGACTTAGCTTTTTTTTATATGAACTAATTTTTGTCACTTTGTGCACTTCTATGGTGGAAGTGTGATTTTTAGCAGTAGACCCTTGCATCGAGAGATACCAGAAAGATACAGACGAAGCTGACAGATAAAAAGATTGGGATCAGGTAAGTTTTGATCAAGTCAACCCTCTCCCTCAAGGAAAGACTCTATCTCTTCCAGCTTGCTACTTTGACATTGGCATCTACCAACCTGCTTTCCCAATTTCAATGACATAGTCACCAGGACCAAATTTGCTGCCCAACACTTTAATTTCCTGCTGAGGCATCCGGAAGTTCGAAGCTTTCACCTTCTTCACCCATCCAGAAAACCTAACTCTTTTTCATGGTTGACTCTAGAGCCAGAAGCCTCTGTGTACTGCTCTATAACAGAGACCACCTCCTGTGCCTCCTCAGTCCCAGAGATAACACCAGCAATGCCCAGAGACACCCCGCACAATGATGCACCTTCTAGCCTTCTTACAAAGGGGTTGATTGCGAAAGCATATAGCAGGGGGCTCAAAGGACATCCCTGGCGCACAGCAGAACCAACCTCAAAACGCCATCCAACCCAACTATTAACAAGTGGGAAGCTCTCGGCCCCTCTATATAATGTCTTCAGCCAATCTATAAACCTCCCCTGCAGACTGTATCTACCAAGTAGCAACCACAGATCTTCATTATTCAGTCGATCAAAAGCTTTTGTCTGATCCAATGCCAGCAAGTACTTTCTTCATCAAGCAGCCCTGCGTTGTTCCAAAGCCTCCCAGACAGATAAAACTGCTGAAAAGGTACTTGTAATTTGGACCGATGAGTGCTGATGGCTGGACAACAAATCGCCTGCTACTGACAACAAGCGCCAAAAAAGAATCTTTGCCAAGATCTATCAACACTGAGAAGACTTGATGGGGCGCCAGTTCTCAATCATTGAGGGGTCTCTACCTTTTGACAGACGAATCAGAGAATTGCCTCATGGAGGGAGAGAGCGAACCCTCTTCTAGACAGCTGTTAAAAACCTCCACTAAAAAGGGAGCCAGAATGGACTTAAAACACTTGGAAAATTCAGCTGTCAATCCATCTGGCCCAGGCGATTTTTTTTTTTTTTTTTTTTTTTTTTTTGGGTAGCCAGCTTGTCTATAGCATGAACTACCTCATCCGCTGAAATTGGTTCTGTCAAATTCATCAAAAGCAATGTACCATTTCCCAATTGTGGAGTAGAATCCAGAAGGCTTTCCATCCTGTCCCGGCTAAGGTTCTTTCTTCCCAGGAGGTCTGCATAATATGACTCGAAGATATCCCAAGATCCCCGATCTGGACTTTACCAGGGAACCTGTACTGTCTTTTAGGCCAATGACCATCTTAACTGCTATGCCTTGCTTACAATTCTGGTAAGGATCAGGTGAGTGATATTTCCCATAATCCCTCTCCAGAACCAAGGAGACATGCTGGTGGTTGTATTGACACTTCCATAGAAGAAGCTTCACTTAGATCTCCCCTGGATCTCCTCCATACGAGACAAAACGATCAAGGTTCCTCCACAAATGCTGGTAGGCAATATACATACCAAGCTGCGTCTTCTTGCGCATGGCCTTGAAAAGTCCAATCACAAGTTCCCTCCACTCTGACTAGTGCAAAAGTCCAGAATAGAAACCTGTGCCCAAAAAAAAAAAACTAAAAGGATTGTCTTACCTCTACATCTTCCAGGAGAGCCGATTTCAGTTTCCAGACACCCCTTCCCCTGGGTGGACTGTCCGAGGCATTCAGAGTCACAGCATACAGTGGTCAGAGAACTCCA